TCCAGTTGACGCCGAGCGGGAACCGTGCCGCGTAGATCTCGCGGACGAGCTCGTCGTCCACGTCGTCGGTGGCCTCGAGGCTCTCACGGATGCTGCTTGCCACTTGGTCGTCCAGCGCAGCGTCCTTCTCGCTCGTCCAGATGAAGACCGACGACGTTGGCTGGTGCTGCGACCAGCGCGGTGACGCCAGCATGCTTGGGAAAAAGATCGAAGAGGCTATGCGCACGCAAACTTACATTCTGTATATTACAGTGTTTACCTCACACAGTGGCGGTAAGTGATCTTGAACCGTCACGCGTGGCCATGGCCTTTTCCGAGTGGGACGCGCCGTGGAGCGAAGGCGACGATGACGACGACGACCGCCTGTCCTGGAAGAGTCTCTGCCTGAGCGAGTACAAGCCGATCCGGCGCTACGACCCGTTTGCTGCGGCGGCTGAAGCGGTCCGGCAGGCCGAAGCCGCGCGCCGCGTGCGGCCTCCGAGCGCACGGGCGCCGCTCGAGGCAGAACTGTCTTGCAGCTCGCAATGGGTCTACCCGGAACGCTCGCCTTCCATCGAGTCGAGTGCGCAACTTTTGCTGCCTCGTCCTCGCTCGACCATGGCACCGCCGCCACCGACGGTTGGCGTTCGCTCACTCGAGCGCGACGAGTCGAGCTTTGACCGCGCAGCGCTGGAGAAGGAACTTCATGTTTCGAAGACAAAAACACTGGCACTCGAGTCGCAAGTCGAGACGCTACTGCGCCAAGGCGAAGATGCTCGGCACGTGACAGCCCGGGACATGGCGTCGCTCGAAGAGAAGGTCACCCACGTCGAGGCGGCGTTAGCAGCCAAGGTAGCCGAGGTACATGGCACCGTAGCACTTGCATCGCAAAGCTCAGATGCTTTGTAGCTGCAGTTAGCCAAGATGGACGCGGCCAGTGACAAGAAGCGCGTGACGATGTTGGAGGTTTCGCATCGCGTCGGCAGGAAGGATGTCATTTCGCGATTAGGCCCAGCTCCAGGCACTGCGACAGACGCTGAACGACACGGAGCGTAGGGTCAGCAGTGACGCCGATGCACTGGCGGCGAAATCCACAGAGCTGGCGACGGCGCGAACCAAGCTGGAAAGCGTCCAGTTTGCGCTGGACGAGTGCAAGGCGACGTTGGTAACCACATCGACCGAGCTGGAGCGCGTCCGAAAAGACTATACCAAAGTGGTCTACGAGCTCACGCAGCTGCAGCGAAGCCAAAGCCAAAACACGGAGACGTGGCGCACGACCAACCAGATTGCGTTGTTGACGCAAGAGCGAGATGATCTGCTACAGCAGCTGCGCCAGACATCTGCGGTAGCCGATTCTAGTCCGCATCAAAATGCACACGGTACATTTAGATGCATGCTCGGCACCAGGCTGACGTTGCGGCCAGAGACACCCAGCACTCGCAGCAGCTCGAACGACTTCAAGCGCAGCAGCGCACCTTCGACCGGCGTGACGATGTTGGTCCGCCACCATCGAGTTGGGAACCAGCCTATGTCGAGTCGTCGCTCTTCCCGAACGCGATCCGCATACCAGATGTGCACGGGCAAGGATTCCCTGGTACAATGCACTATCGTCCCAAACACTGTCTGTGGCAACTTACAGTGTCTTTACCAGAGACGGAACGGCGCCCGAGTGCTGTCGTCGAGTCGTACAACCAGATGCTGGCCGACGCCCGTCCGACCACATCACCGACAAAGGAGCGCATGACGCGACGCAGCGGCCCCGTGTCGCTGGCGGACCTCGGCTACGGGGATGCCCGGCGGTCGATGCCAACAACTGCAGGTACCTGAGGAGGTTTCCTATCAGAAACGATACAGTATATTTGCATAGCCTCCATGAGCAAGGTGGAGCTGAATGGCTCGAGCAACATTCGCAACTTGCTTCATTATCAAACCAGTACCGAAGAGGGTGGGGACATGCGTCACCGCAGCGTGATCGACATGGAGCTCAGTGCACCGTACGCAACCGAGAAGCAGTCGCTGCAAAATGACGTCATGTACAAGCGCCAGTTGGAGCGAAAGCTCCTCGACCTCAACCTTGAAAAAGAGCAGGTACGACGACTATACTCGGAGATGGAGGAATCCAATGGGAGCAGCTCCAGGCCGAGTACGCCAAGCTCGAACAGTCGGCCTCGAGGACGATCGATGCACGCAGGCGCAAGTCTAATATCGAGTCGAGCCTCTTTGGTCTTGACAAAGCCATCAATCAGCTGCGCATGCAACTACGCTAAGGACAAACTTACAAATCTAATCCCATCTAGTACAACCATACCTCGATGGAAGGGCACTTTCGATGGCCGCAGGCCGTCGACTGGTACGGCTCCTGCACACGATATGCATACCCGTGGCAAAGCTCTGGGCCTCGCATGTGCCTCACCGCCGCCAAATTTCCACGAAAAGAGCCAGGTAGAATCGCAGGTCCAACACAGGGGTTTACCCTTGTCTGATGTGAGCATCAAGTGGACACTGTCGATCGGGTGAAGCACTACAAGAGCAGCACGAGATGAGGGAGAGCAGCATTGCAAGTGGTAGGTGGTAACTGCGATAGCGTGTTCCAGCGTGGTCCGCAACCGACGTCGCCAGAATATTGTACGCCGTGCTCGTTGGGTAGACAGCCTAGCGTTGTGCGGCCCGTTTTCGTCAAATATTGCAAGAAAAGTGCTAGCTTCGAGGTGCTACGCGATGGGCACAAAGGTAGATAGCGGTGCGACTCGCGCTTCTCGTCGTATTGCGCTTTTGGCGGAGGAGGATGACAACCAAATAAACATCAATACTGACAAAGCGAAGGCCGTCAGCGCCATGCTACATACCAACATGGCGTGCCGAGGAAAAGATTAAGCGCGTGCAACGCGAAGTCACCATAGTCTAGCGTCGCCTACTCCATGATTATCTGTGTGTCGAAGAGGACGTACAACGTTGTACGCGCAGAAGACAAGAGCACATATGTACTGTATGAATCATGTAGAGATAGGTCTAGTAAATATTTCAACACGTTTCACTAATATAGCACTAATACAACGGAGTGAAAACTTGGTCATGACCAAAATTCAACAAATTTAGTGTAAAAATACTGTGTAAATTCATTTTGACTCTTCATACCGTTGTTTTTTCACACCCATCTTACACATTTTAATCCCAAAGAGTCAGCTCTTGATCGAGTGAAACAAATATGGTGAAATTTATTGTGTAAATTCCAGTTTCCACTCTTCAGACTAGTGTTTTTCACACTCCATTTACAATTTCTGAAAGTCCAGTTGTCTTGTCATGCCCTTTTAAATTCCTCTACGATGCGAACCCTAAGTACAGCATTACACAATTCTCTCGCACATACATTTGGTCTGCACTCAATGTCAACGTGGTTTCAAACTGTAAACTGCTGAAGCAACATTGACATGGTTCGCCATTATGGTCCATATATTATGTATGTGAACTGAACCTCGGCTGCGCCTCGGGCCCTGCGGGCAAAGTTGCTGCGACTCGCTTCGCTCGTCGGCAGCGCTTCGCGCTGGAGAGGTGTGGATGGTTAAGAATTGATAGTTGGAGAAGTGAGTGTGGAATGGAGGTTGAGTGTAGTAGTTAGGCTTCACAAGGGAGGAGTGCTGGGCCCTCGGAAACCAGTCCAATAGTCAGTGGCAAGCCAACTGGACTATCGGAGTTTGTAAAAATGAATGTGAAAAAAAACCACACCGAAGTGTGGAAATCAGTTTTCACACTGATTAGAACAGATACTACACTTGATCTTAGCCAAAAGGCCGAGAAGGTATGATTACCGGTGGGAAACCTAATTTCACCATCTCTACGAAAAAACCACTCCGTGGTTTTTTCAAGACGGATGGTGCAGATCCCTTGCTGTAGGGGGGCAACGTTCTGGAATATTAGGTACGATTTCAGTCGTTTCCAAGTGTCTTTTTTAAATGCGGCCCGACATAGTACGCAAAAATCGCGATAAAGTGCGCAAAAATCCGCACCTTTTGATGGGATTCTGCTGATCCGCGCCGCGTTATCTTTCCTTCCAATACACAAAACAAGATACAAATTTTAGAAAATATCACCAGATGGCGCGTGGTTTTCGCCGTGTGGGCGATGTGAAAAATAGATTTCCCACACAAAGTCCTGGCTCGGCTTTTTCCATAAAAAAGTACATACTTGGTCATGGCAATTCATGTAGGGCTATTGCGGATGGCAGCGTTCACGACCAATGGATTCTGGGCACGGCCACCTGTATCCGGATGCAAATGAGGATTCCATGCGAGGATTCCAAGGAAAACTCCACGCACGCTGTTGCCGAGGTTGTAGCATACCGGTACCGCCGTATAAATGCCCTCGCGTCTTAGCCAAAAGGCCGTGTGTGCAAACTAATCAATACACGAAACGTGTGTTGGTTAGCGGCGGTGCGTTGCGTTGCGTCTCTTGGCGGCAAACGCGCTTGCCCTTCCGAATACAACAGAGCATCACGGAAGTAGGATCTAGCGCTGTAGTCATTAACTCATCTTGTGAGCTCCTCTAGCTCAGTTGCTATAATAGAGTTGTCAAAGGATTCTGCGTTAACCGATTAGTGCTACTACTAGTACTATAATAATAACGTTATTGTCGAAGCTTAATCCTGTCCTTAAGCCAGTAACGTTATATCATATACACAAGGCAAGACCGAACAGACTCGTAGGGTGGCATCTGCACCCTAAAGTGTCTGCACCCTGCGCGAGACCTAGTGCACATCGAACGAAATGTGAAGGTCGAGGCAGCGTGGATGTTTGGCCTGGAGAGCGGTAAACGGGGCGCGTCGGGAGAGCATCAGAATAGCAGCCTTGGTAGCCGACTATAGCGCAGTACTAGTATCGCCTACTGGACTTGGTACACGTTTGGTGCCGTACACGGTCAAGTGGTTTGCTCGAGAAGCCTTCAAAACAGAATCGGTGTTGGTACAGCAAATACAAGTCGACGCTGTTTGAGTGGGTCGCTGTGAATGCCAGGTTTGGATGGACGATCAAGGGTCGTCAATTTAAAATTGTGTGAATTTCTGGTGTCGCGACAAGCACCGGACGATCTCGATTCCTCCCAAACGTGTCCGCGTCGAGCTCTCGTTCATCTTGTGGATGTCGACCGTCCACCGTTGGCTGAGCCTCCAAGACGCCGCCGACCTTACTCGGTGACACACGCAGGCAGTACTCCAAGTTGCACATGTCGTCGGACAACAACCTTCAAGCCGCCTTCAGCGCTGCGTCGGCGCCAGCGCTCGGAACGATTGCGTTATAGTACGTCTAATGACGTTGGAGAGCGAATATATTGGCTCATCCATCGCACCTCCTCTTCGATGGCTTATTGGGCGAGGCATGCGCAACGAGTCCGGCAATATCGATAACGTGATGGTCAACAGCACGATCGACGCCGACGACGCGATGGGCCCGACGCGCGCGCTATGAAACCGAGAAAGGCATCGCGGACGAAGATTTCTGCCTCGCGATCGACTCGCACATCGTGTTTGTCAAGGACTGGGACGCCGAGCTTCTCTCGCTCCGGCAGTTTTTGGCAGCAATCGGTGCCAACCGCCCGCCATTATTGCAGCCTGGCGAAGATAAGAGAGTCCTTGTCATGGTGCTAGGTCATATTGGTGCTAGGTAGGTAGTGCATTATCCTCCCAAGAAATACCAGTAAGCATCTGAGCGCCAGTATTGAGCCAGTGGACGATATAAACTACTACATGGAGTGCACGTACCCTGGTCCGTGCTGGTATTCTTGTTGCGTAGTGTATTATCTCTGTCAAAGGCTATCGACAAGTATCTCAGTGTCGTCCAGGCTGCACCAGCACAACTGAGGCTTCCAGCCTCATGTCGTATAACACGTACGATACCGTGCACTATCCATCGAGCATAAGAAGATCGACGAATAGGAAGCAATCGCGCTCTGCTTGGTCGCTCCAGTTAGCTTGTGTCGCTCCTGTCGCTCTAGCTGTAGTTGTTGTTGTTGAAGTGGGTCGTCTATTACAATAGATAAAACTATGCTAAATAAAATTGTCGGACTTTCTTCGTTGTGTGTACTCGGTTGAGGGACTTGATTTAGGCAGGCGGAGGCAAGAGCGCGATCCGCGGGACGAGGTGACGTCGCGGCCACTCGTGTTGGGCGAGGAGCTGGAGAAGACGACGAAGAGCAGGCTGCTCGGGCTGTTGTACGAGGCTGTGGTGCACGTGCAGTTGAGCGACACGTGCCGCCTTGACGGCAATCGTCC